GATTTCCGCCCTATCAGCCTATGCACTGTCATGTATAAGCTCATCACCAAAATCACCATTCGCCACATTAAACACTTGATGCCTATCTTAATCATGTTGAATCAAACGAGTTTTGTCGCTGGGCGCTCTATTACAAAAAATGTTATTATAAATCAGAAGGTAATCCACTCTATGTGGCAACTCAAGACAAAACAAGGTTGGATGGAAATTAAAGTGGATCTCGAAAAAGCTTTCGACCGTCTCCGATGGGATTTCATCCAAGATTCGCTCACTGACGCTGGCTTCCCAGTCAGCACCATCTGAGTCATAATGCATTGTATCACTTCGGCCTCTATGCAAATCTAATGGAATCGTGAATACACTCCAGATTTCAAACCACAGCGGGGTATCCGACAAGTGACCCTCTTTCTCCATATCTATTTGTTTTAGCAATAGAAAGACTCGGTCATAGCATTCGTAAATGCGTCGAAGAAGGAGATTGGAAGGGCTTCTCTTTTGCCCGACAAGGACTTCCCATTAGCCATTTATTTTTTGTTGATAACCTTATCTTTTACGCAAAAGCTGATCTTACTCGTGCTAGGCAAATTGAGAAAATCCTCACCCAAGTTGGGCACTTTTCAGGACAGAAAGTCAATAAACGAAAGACTCATATATACTTCTCGCCTAACACTGTCACAGAAACGAAAACTGTCATCTTTTCATGTCTTGGGTTCCAAGAAGTTAACCATATAGGCAAATATCTTGGCGTGTCGGTCCTTCATAGTCGTATGAAAGCTGCGGATTTTGACTTCATCTTCGACAAATTCAGGGGTAAATTAAACGGTTGGGCAGCTCGAACTCTTTCATTGGCAGGACGTGTTACTTTGGCTAAATCGGTTCTTTCAGCCATATCGACTTATTTTATTCAATTCATGTTTTTCCTAAAGACAAAAATATAAATTCAGGATGCTTATCCTTTATCCATTGAAAGACACATCTGCACCCCATTATGGCGAGGATAGCGAAAATATAGAGCCAATTATCCTCATGCTTGGTCTGGTCGTGGGAAATTGAGACACGTAACTTTGGAATGATGCGTGGGTGCCACATTTGGGCCATTATACAGTTATGCACGAGCTAACGCACATGTGCACCTACTCAAGCTACACATTTTCATTGATGAACAAAATCATTGGGACGTGAGGAGCTATCCCAAGTTCTTATTCCAGTTGCCATCTCTCACGTGCTTAACGTTCGGCTTCCTGAGACTACTGATATATCTAATGCCCTGGTCTAGAAATGGGATCCTGAACATCACTTTACGATTAAATCGGCTTACACCTTTCTCATGGAAGATAGTTGGTCCGGAAAGAATAATGTTTGGAAGAATATTTGGTCGATCACCGCTCCTCAATGAGTCCGCATGTTCATATGGCTTGCTTATAAAGAAAATATCACGACAAACTATGAACGCTGAATACGAATGCTGACAAATGACTGCTCATGTGTGACTTGTGGCGCAGCCGTGGAATCAGTAATTCATGTATTGCGTGATTGCCCACCCAGCCGAAACCTGTGGTTGCATGTTGTTGCACATTCCGCATTTGCTAGTTTCTTCGACACTGATCTTCAATCATAGATCACACAAAATATTCAGAAGAAACAACCCGTAAGTGATGGCGATCCTCCTTGGTCTTCCTTTTTTACTGCTCTTATTTGGCACAACTGGAAGTAAAGGAATGACTATGTTTTTAAGGGAGCCACTTACAAAACAGATTCTACAATTCACAATAGTTATAACTACGCAAAATGCTATGCAAATAGCTCCAAAGTCCCTGTTATATATCCGGTACAACATGTGAAAAATCCAACGTGGTCTCCACCAGCCCGAGGATGGATGTGCTTGAACACGGATGGTGCAGTGGGACACTTGATGGGTGAGGCTCAATTGGTGGTTATCCGTAACTCTAACGGAGAATGGATTACAGGTTTCACAAAGAATATAAGCACAACATCGATACTTCACGCCGAACTTTGGAGCATTTGTGAAGGTCTTCTCATTGCAAGAAACTTGGGCATTCACAGGCTTTGGATCCAGTCTGACTGCAGCAGAGCAGTCAAATTGGTAGGAGAAAGTGGTTCAATCGACAACCATATTCCGTTGCTTCGCGCAATTCTGAAACTTTGAAACTTCGTCAGGATGCTGGGTGACAAAATCCAATGGATTAGCAGGAATGGAAACAAGATTGCCGATAGGATGGCAAAGCTAGCTTCGCTGCAACACTACAACTTGGTTCACTTTGACTCCCCCCCGGATGAGCTAGTAAACCTCTTAGCTTTAGACAATGTTGTTGCTTAGCAAACTGACGAGAGTATACGCGCTAGCCTACTGTTTTAGGCTTCTTTCAATTCAAAAAAAAAATCAAAATGTTGAACTACTATTTATTAGTTTATACATAATGGATCACATTTCAGTCTTCTAGAATTTGCTTCTAAATTTAAAGTTTTGATGAAAATATACAAAGCTAGCTTCGCGGCAAACTACAACTTGGTTCACTTTGACTCCCCCCCGGATGAGCTAGTAAACCTCTTAGCTTTAGACACTGTTGTTGCGCAGCAAACTGACGAGAGTATACGCGCATAGCCTACTGTTTTAGGCTTCTTTCAATTCAAAAAAAAAAATCAAAATGTTAACTACTATTTATTAGTTTATACATAATGGATCACATTTCAGTCTTCTAGAATTTGCTTCTAAATTTAAAGTTTTGATGAAAATATATAAATAAATGAATAATTATTTAATATATTAATAATAGAACAAGAAAATTTCAGAACGAGCTTCTAATATTATCACGTATTATTCTAGTTTATAACATATTAAAATTATATTTAGTATAAATATTTTAAATATATTGCTAGAGGCAAAGTTGACGGATTGACAAGGATCCTAGTCTTTAAAATGATAAAATTATACATGATAAAATTATAAGTTAAAAATTATATTTTAATTTTTTAAATTGATAAAATTTTAATTTAATTCTTCTAATAATTATAGAGTCAGAGGTCCATATAATGAAAATACTAATATTTAAATTTTCATTAAAAATTATAATTCTAATTTGACCACCTGTGTATATTACAAATACAAAGATATTTAAATATAAGGAATTACTATTAAAAGGAACGCGACAGCAAAATTAAGTCGCAGACAAGGAGATAATGCGTCAAATACAGAATTGAATAACGAGTAGAAAAAAACTTTGAAGATTTCAAGAAGATGTCTTAACATTCGTTACTTTCAAAGGTGGAGTTGGTAAAATAAAAACAAAATATATGTTTTAAAACTATAAAAAAAAATTGTTATATCATAACATACAACGCGGTTTTCGATTACTGTATAATCTGATAGAAGTATGCGTCCCAAGTCTAAACTCCGTTGACAACCTTAGACTCCAACTGCGACGTGGTGCAAATCTTCATCCTATCTTCTATATCCAAATCTTCTTCTCCATTTGAACTCCCAAACATTAATATTTCTTCTAAATTACTCCACTTGTAGTCTCGTTTTTAGATCTGCTGTAGAATCTGTATAAATAATGAGTTTTGTCTCCCTTCCACCACTATCTATAAAGAGTTTTTAGATCTCAGGACTTCCAAGTTCAAACCTTCTAGCATAAAGTCTATCAAATTCTTTAAACCTTTGTCATGAACCAATAAAAATCCTTCTTATTCTTGTTGCTCATGGCATTTCTTTTTTTCTTTTTTCAAACTTCACTCTCCTTTTTTCCACTTTTCATTCCCCCTTTTTTTTAATCTTATATCCATCTTCTCAACTCAATCCTATTCCATCTTTTCATTGCAGAAGCTCATCTTTCTTAATTTCGCTAGCCATGGTGATGCATAAGAAAATAGTGAAAATAAATGTAGAATGACTTAGTTCTTATTCCTCAGGTTAAGCATGTGATATCAACACTGGTTATAATTTTACTGCTCACTGAAGGTCATCAAGGAAGGTATAAGTAGCTTTGCTCTGGAGCATTACCTGCACTGACAAATGACATATGATATGATTGCCTGTCAACCTGTGTTTTTCTCTTCTTTGGTACATTTTCTTCTGTTCGGTTGCCTACTTGCCTCTGTTTTTTCCTCCATCTTCATTATTATTATTATTATTATTATTATTATTTATTTTGGAACTACTGTTTTTGCCATATTCTTGCTATCAAGTCACTTTTTTGTTTCCTCTAGTAATAGTAGTAGTAATAGTAAGAGAGAGAGAGAGAGAGAAGTGGGAAATTCTGCTAAGGATCACAATGGTTTGAGATGCAACGTTCAGTTGCCACGAACATTGTCTCAGACACCAAGTACTACAACCTTCTCAAGAAGTATTGTAAGCCTGCTTGCTATCCAGATGAGCATTACATTCCAACTTTCTTGAATATGTTCCATGGATCAATGAATGCAAATCGGACTGTGAATTGGGTCGACTGGTCAATGGGGGGCCCTCATCCAGCAATGCACGAGGGAGTTAATGTCACAGAGAGTTTTATACAAGCCATAAGGAACAACGGGACACTTTGTACGTATAACGACGAGCAAACATCTGTGTTATCTCTTCGCACGAAAGTTTTCTCCTAGTGCATTGGAGCCTTTGCTCAACCTCTGCTCGTCTGTGATGAACTTTTGACAGATTAATCAGGCAGTGGTTGAGATTCTCCCTCCTTTCATTTTAGCAGGTTTCTATCATTGTCATACAATTTTGATCACTAACTTTGGTTCATACGTAAAGATAGGTTCAACCACAATTGTTCTCTCGCAAAATTTTGGAAGAAAATAGATCAGCTTTATTTTTTGTTTTTGCAGAAAGGATTATTTTCCCCATTGATTTTAAAAGATTCTGCATTGTTAATCCCAATGTGTTTACCTTGAACAATATGCTTTCCTTTCCTGTATCTCTAGTTTGAGTGCCTCCATTGAAAATGTTATGAGATTGAAGCATAATCATAAAGAGCAGTAATGTTAACAAATGTTTCTAACCATCAACTATAAATCTTAAAAATCATCTTACAAGCAGCAGTACAATATCCAACAGAATTTACATTTTCTTGTGGAAATTTTAAGTTTTCGAGCTTTTTCAGTGGTGAATCGTTTAAATCATTTGAGAAGAGACCGCTTAAACCATGCAATAATCTAGTTTGCAAAATCTCAAAACTGCAAGGTTCCTGCGCACAAGCATCTCGTCCAGGAGGTTTCTTTGATCTCTGTTGTCCTTTCACGCTAATCTTGATGACTTTGTTAGGAGTTTAAGTCTACTTGAAGACAGAACCAGATGCGGCGGGGTTGTTTTCAAAGCCTCCTGGGACAAACACAGGAAGTTGGTTCGAGATCGAGTCCCTTTTGAATCTAGACTCTCGAGGCAAGTTCAGACCTACATTTTCTTGAGCTTCCCTTGAACACAAACCCTTATCACTTCTCAAATTATCTCTAACCGGGACACTCAAAAGTGGGCCACCAAAGAAAATCGAGTCTCCTGTATACAATAGCTTCTCTGCCTGTAGTGCCGGACCCCTTGCTGCCAAAGATGACTCATGCGTTGAAAAAACTGCCCTTCTAGTCTGCGTGCTAGTTTCTCCACTAGAATTTGGCAAACCCATTTGCATGGATAACCTATTCCGAGCATCAGTGGCAGTGACAGGGACAGATACATACCTACCAGCTTCTTGATCCCATACAACTGAAGTCCTTTTGACATCTCTAAGAAGGGAAGTGGCAGGAGCAGAAAGCAACAATGGATCAACAGTCCCACCCTTATGCATTACCCTTTCATCAGAAGCAGATGGGCCAGGCCTGACGGGATTGTTGGTATCAGGTAATCGAGCATTAGACATAAAGGTACGATCTGGCATGTCGAGAGCGGAGGTAGCTATATTGAAACGACCACCTTGAGGTTGAGGTAGCGGGCTAAGCGTGACTGTCTCATGAATGTGGCTTGGACTGCTGAAGCTACTGACACTCTGAGTTCCTGTTTCATACCCATCACGGCTACCTTGACTCAGAGCAAAAGAGTTTCCTAGTGGCGATAATCGCTGATCATTCTTTATCTCTTTATTTGCACCTGTATCTGTGCTAATACTACTTCTGATGCTCATGTTTCCGCTGGAACTAAGGTCAGGATCTCCCATTCGACGGTTATCAACAGACCGTAGAACAGAAGAAGATGCTCTTGCTCTGGCTGCTGCCCTCATGGCGTCAGCAGAATCTAACTTGGCCAGCTTCCACGCACTAATACGAACAGGCCTTTTGGGTCCCTTGTTCCCTCTTTCTGCAAAACCAGCTGCATCAGGGTCAACAGTGGATGGGAGCATTCCAGGCTCCAAATGGGGCACTACCTCATCCTGATGTAGCCATGTCCAACAGAGGTTTTAAATAATCAGTATTATACTAAAAAATACACATCAAGGCGAAAACTCCAGAAGTCAAACCAGAGACTTATGATGAATCTACTTCCTTGAAGGTAGGCTCAAATTAAAAAGGCATCAACGAATTTATCACATGAACAAATTTACGCAAATATTTACAACTACAGCACCATAGAAACTTCCGTGTTGTATTCATATATACTCAGCAGCACCAAAAAAAACATATAAAGCAAACATTTAAATGTGCAGGAACCTTAAGCATAACTTAAATGTAATGTACTGTTAGATTGCATTGCTTTATGGGTTTCATACAAACAAAACAAATAAAGCAAACATTTAAATGAAAGTACCTGATAATCCACAAAAACTCTAGGAGGGGTACACCATGCCCCCTTGTACTGCAGGCCAAGGGAACTTCCACCGCTCATGCCGGTTGTAGCTGATCCAGATGGAGAATACATCAGATTCGGCATTTCCTCATCCACAGATGCTCCAGCAGGCGCTTCACTCATTGCTCTCATTGCCACAACATATTCGTAGGTTGTGATACCCTGATTCCATGCAAGAGTCAAAATTGCCATACTGTCTTCCCTATAAGACAACTCTTTTTACCTTATCCATTATATCCAGATACTAAAATGTACAAAATTCAAAAACTCCACCGACTCTAGCTACAAATATGAATATCTTCAAAATCTGTCACCTTATAAGTTATAACCAGAAACTAGTGCACTGCAAAAATAACAGTAATGGTTCATATCTAGGAAACTTACCTTTCTGATTAGTATAATGTGAAAGAAGAAAAGTTCACCCAGTGGTACACAAGCCAGGACAGAAACTGCAGTACATACCGCCTACACAATTTTGGATCAAACTTAAATACTTGCAAGAATACAAAATCACAAGTTACATGTTAACTTCAAAGCATTTGTTAAGGGATGTACCACAACTGTTGCAAATGGAGCACGAGAAAAACCATTTCCAAGCCTATGAATAATCTCTGTCTCCATTCCCTTCTCGTTAACGAAGCAACGAACTAAGACAGCAATACCGACGCCAGCTTCCATAACTAGCTGAACCACGAAGAGAGAGGCATCATCAAAACCTGGGAAATTTGATTTTTATATAAAAAGCAATTAACCAAAAAGCATACCCAAACAATACTGATGGCCATGAGAGAGATGAATGTGAAATAATTTTTTTGTCCTACACAATTGTTTAGCCACTGCAGCCACATTTGAGATGGAGATTATTTCCACACAAAAATAACCAGATTAGCCAATACTATACAAGTTGAAAGATATTCTATTACAATTATGACCATAAAGAACAGTTGAAGTAACACGAAAATACTTACCCGGCAGTGATGATCAAAACCATCTACACATTTATCACAACTTCTACAATGTTTACTAAACTTGCGCACCTGCACCATTGAAATCATTCATGAGTTAGAAAGAAAGCCATGCACCATTTTAAGATATTGCCAACCTTTCAAATCCTGATCACCAAAATGTTTGAATATAACAATCAAGTTTCATTGATCAACACCCCCACCTAGGGATGGACATGGGTCGCATCGGATTGTCGGTCCACCTGACCCGACCCAAAAATTATACATCCTCCACCCGACCGACCCGAAATAATATATTTATTAAAAAATATTACTTTATTCAATAAAAATATATATTTAATTAAAAATAATAATATATGGAGGGGTATTATTGCAATTATCCTTAAATATATAAGGTAAAATTACAATTTTTTTCCGGTTCGGGACGGGTATTTTTCACCCTAAATCTGAACCCAGCCCGAACTCAATTTTCATTGATCACCCTAAACCCTTCAAATCCTGATCACCAAAATGTTTGAATATAACAATCAAGTTTCATTGATCAACACCCCCACCTAGGGATGGACATGGGTCGCATCGGATTGTCGGTCCACCTGACCCGACCCAAAAATTATACATCCTCCACCCGACCGACCCGAAATAATATATTTATTAAAAAATATTACTTATTCAATAAAAATATATTTAATTAAAAATAATATATGGGGGGTATTATTGCAATATCCTTAAATATATAAGGTAAAATTACAATTTTTTTCCGGTTCGGGTCGGGTATTTTTCACCCTAAATCTGAACCCAGCCCGAACTCAATTTTTTTGTAAAAAATTCAACTGATCGGGTTAGGTCAGAACCCGTCGGAATCGGATCCCATGCCCATCCCTACCCCCACCCCACCCCCATAAAAACTCTATCAAGGCTTTATTAGTTAAAAAGAAATGATTAAATCAATGAATCTAAAGGACCAATACCTTCCTATATGTTTAATTTGTTTTGATTGTTGGAATCCAAAAATTTGGTCTAAGATGTTCAATTTTCTGCAATCAGCTCTATTTTCACTGTTGCCTTACAATAATGCATCTGGCAGTAGCATTGACAGAAGCAGACATAAATAAAAGCCTGCAGTCACGTAGACTTGTAGTGGATAATAAGATTGGTGCTACGCATATCATGTGAAAATCCAGTAGTAGTGAAGAAAATGTAGTAGAAAATAGACTAGAGGTACTGAGACACCATGAACACGCTAATGAAAATGTAGTGTATATTTCCCTTATTTGACCTCTGGCAACATTAATTGACTCAAGAAGTTTACCCTACCCCCAACCCAAATTGCATGAAGAACAAAATAAAAGCAAGTTTTCAAATTTACTGTGGAGAATGTTAAGCACACCATGGACATAAAATTACTAAAAGAATGATGAATCTTAAAGCTAATTTAATATGGTAAAGGGGGTAGCCAAATAGGTTCCAAAATACCTCGGCATTGCACAATGTGCAGAACAAAGCATCTTCATTGCCTTGCTTAGCAGGTGGTTCCTGCTTGCCACAATCTTCATGAACAAATAAAGCACAAAAGATTCCTCCAATGCAACAAGATTTCCTGCTTGCATACTGTGTTGAAGCATCTATATTTCCAGGATCTCCCACTGAACCTTTCATACTTGAGTTCGGTGCTGCCCTGGAACTTCTGGAAACAGTTGATGGTGATGAATGCAGCCCACTGCCAAACTCATCATACTTTCTGGGTAAATCCTTCGCTGGCAAACCTTGGTTTTCAAATTTGTTTGATCCACCGTTAAATTTTGACATGATGCCAGGATCAGCTGGGTTAATTGCAGTGCACCGAACATAAAGTATAAAAACAAGGAGTGCCTGCATAGCAATCAAATGCAGATTAAAAAAGGAAAATTCCTTTTTCACCAAAAATTATTTGCTCTAAATCTGTAGCAGTAATTAAAAATGTCCTAAATTTGTAATCTAATAGATCTTTCATACAAAAAAGTACAATAAAGGAACTTTGAAGCCCTGATATATAAAAAAAAATGAATTAACGTACCACGAGTGAGTAAGCTGCAACCAGAGCATATTCCCAGATGCGCCCCCAAAGGAAAGGAGCGAAGAAAGCATAAAATGCAACCACTAACAAGCAGAACACAGTAATTGCAACAACCTATTAAAAATAAAATTAAAATAAAGAGTTAAATCAATATCAAGGAAATATAATCATATGTAAGTAATCCGAAGAGTTATCAATAGGTGCCATTTGCATGTGAGTGCAACACAAAAAAGGCAATGACAATGCTGTAAAACAACTTTCAAATGTCTTTTACTCTTTCCAGTTTCTATAGGCGGAAATCCTTAAAGAGAAAAATAAAGGGGAAGAGAGGTTAGAAGGAGGAGATCTCTAGCCTAAGTTATAGTTTGTATGATATTTGAAAATAGACGTCATAATAAAGCAGAACATATCTCTGAAATTTAGTCTATCACATTTTCCTTAGTTGAGGTTCCTCTAAAGAGGAGATTGACCTATCTCTGAAATTTAGGCTTGACCTTCAGATAAAGTGTAAATTAAATGCATAGTTCAAAACCCAATGAATGAACACAACCCAGAAACATGTTAATAATCAGGTACCATACTAGTCAGATCCATAGATTAGGATCAAACAAACGCTTCACTGCCCCAAAAAGGATGTTTTACACCAATGAATCCTCCCCCGAATATTACCTATCTTAGAAACATGAGTATCTCTGAACCTCTAGGACACCGCCACTTGTTTTACCAAACATGTGCCATAGCTTGTCTTCTTCTGACACTGATCAAGATAGTTGGATAAAACTATTTAAGTGCACCCAAATCAGAGATTTGTTTAGGAAACAAGCGGTGCAAGTAGGAAAGTTACTGGCAGAAAGTGGGACCAGTTTGAGAATCACACATGGATTGAACCTCATTCTCATCCTTAAGATTAGGCTGAGAGATAATGTTCAGAATAAATCACATTCAGGCTCCAGGTTCCGTACATAGCTTCCTTTCCTATGGTTTCCTAACCCATGGAATGAAGTATGCCTAATATAAAGACGGCTGCTTGCATCCAGTTAATGTATGGAGACAGATTTAACGGAGCTTCAAGAAGCGAGACAAAGTCGGGAACCATTTGGGAGTCGAACCACATTTGAGTCCTTCCACAACCCACTTAAAGATAGTGTTCTTAATAAACTACCCTGATAAAACACAGAAATTTCGAACACCCTCAGACAAATAAACTATTCATGCATATATACTTTGACAATCAACTCTAGCTAGCACCAACACTCAATGATGCAGATGGCTTCTCTGGTATGAAGAAAGGAAATAAGATTCATTCCTCTTCTCCTTAAGCACCATTCTCTAACTGAAGACCATAAGCAATTCTAGAGAACAAACCGGAACTGTGGAATCCAGAATCTTTCCTCATCCAGACAGTTAATAACTGGAAGATTACCAAAATCCAACGCAACCCTACCGAATTAAAAGAACCTAGAATTAATTCATAAAAAAAAGGAACCCTCACAACATCAATGTACTAGTTCAAAACTATGGTACTGCACAGAGCTAAGAAACAAACACAGCAGAAAACGTACAATGAGCCACGCTAATCCATCAAATCGAAGAGAGTCAATGCTATTCACACAAAATTAAGCAGCAAACAGCTAACCCCCACAGAGAAAACATGGAAGATGGATCCAACAGAAATTTAGAGCATTTTCTTGTCGAAACATGAATGAAAACAAAAACAAAGGGACATTACCTGAAAGGTGTGAGCAGGTAGTTGCCACCCATGCTTCCTCACCATAACTGCCCTGCAAAATCCACACCCCTAACACCTACCCAGAAAACCCAAAACCCTACCTACAAAAAAGAAAGACCCTAAGGACAGATTCCCATGACAAACACACGAACTAAATACTTTTGGGAGAGACAGAAGGAGAAAGAAAAATGGGTTTCCCTCTTAGTAACCAAAGACCAAATTAAGAACCCACGGGAAAAAAAATCAGAAAAAAGATAGAATGTTAGCAATGGGCTCACAGTATGAAGTGAAGAGTTAGTCTATGAAAAACAAATGAAAGCAATAAATAAAGCAAGACAGAAGGGGGCAGCATTTAAGGGAAAGGGTGAAAGATAGAAGATGAGTTATGGAAAGTAGAGAATGTGAGAAACTGTTGAAAAAAATAAGCAAATTGACAAAAGAGAAAATCGTTGACACACAAAGAAATTTAGAAAAGAGTAAATTACACCCTCCCCGGAAATCAACTGAAAATCTTTTTTTTTCTTCATTTCAAAAAAATAAATATTTTTCAAATAGAAACAAATATTTAAAAAAATAAGAGTTATACGTAATTCGATGAGACTCACCCACCAATGATAAATCAAGAATTTGCTTTGACTTAGTAATTTCTTGTTTGTTTTATTTTAAATCATTAATTCGTTTGTTTTTGTTTTCCTTTTTGTTTAATCTGTATATTAAAACAATCGAGAAAAGGAAAGGTGGAATTACAGAGGAGTCAAAGATAACAGTGTTCATAATTTAGTACTTATATTTTTAGGTATTTAAAGATTTGAGTTAGTATTTTTAATTAATATATAATAATTACTTGTATTTATTAATTAGGCATTTGCAAAAATTGAACAGAAAAATCACATGAAAATTTCAATAAAAATATTCTGAGTGATATGTTGCTTTTAGATAATTTAATTTGATTAACTTAATCTATAGATATATCATATATGTAGATTTATCTAAATTGAACAAAAATATTAGTCTCAGTTAAGTACAAATATTAAGTAAAAGACAGAATAAAATATAAGTGACAACCTGGGCCATGAGATGACAGCCAACTCCTGCTCGCATCCAAATTCCTTTTCATTCATAAGAAGGATAAATATCGCATGTAGACAAAACTGTCCCTTCAACTAATATTTCCCTTTGTTCTTCTATTAGCTTGATATGCTCCTCTGTTTGGAATAAAAATAAAAAATAAATATTTGGACTAACATTGGTGACTAACAATCAACAAAATAAATCAATATAAATTTGAATTAATATAATAAAGTATATAATATTAAATTATTCGTCCAGCTCAGTTGGTAAAGCGTAAGGCTCTTAATCTTGTGGTCGTGGGATCGAGTCACACGGTGAGCAATTTATAATTATGACTGTCGGAGGTCTCCCACGAAGCTGCTCTCAACCTGACATTGGAGGCAGCCTACTATCCTACCTTCTCCTTACCCATTACACATGAGAATAGGATCAGCTAATTTAATTTCATCTTTCAATTAAAAAATCCCTAAAAGGTGACACGAGCAGCTAAATCTAAATTATTTGATTGCACAACCTCAACAAATACCGATAACATATAATAATCGGGACTAATTTTAAAAAAATAAGGTCAAATTTCGTATGAGATGACCTAAAAACCTGGATCAATTTAGTGTATTCTTTATTATAAATTTATTGAATTTTCGATTATGAACTCGGTTTTTGAATGGTAAATCTAAACTATAATTATTTATTATTTAAAATGTTATTATAATTTTTTTATAAAAGTAACTGATTTTATTAAACAAGTGAGATATCTAAAATGATAATAAAAGTTTACTATTTTAATGGTAAAAAAAATAAGATATTTTAATAATCACCGTACACAATAAAATAGTCACTTGAGATTATATTAGAACCATACAAGGAAAATGTTAAAGATCTAACCAAAAAAACAGTAAAATATAGATACGAACAGATTTGATTGTATTGATAAATGAACCTAAAAAAATATATCAAACTACTTAAAAATTACTGACAAATCACAAATAAGAGACGATCGATGTAATAAAACTATTAACGGACACAAATCATGTATCAAAATTTAATCAATAATCAAAACCAGTAAAGATCAATATTATAACAAATAAATGTCATTTTAATTAGTCGAAACAATATCAATCTAATTATAAGAAGAAGAAAAAACAATCAAACCATTGATAAAGAATTTTTTTTGGAGTAAGGGTGACATTGAGGTTAGAGGGGCTAGGATTGGGTGGAAGATAATCTGCAGTCTCAAGATAAGGAGGTTGGGGCTTTAAGTATTTTAAAACCTAGAATAATGCGTATTTGGTGCTTCTAGACATATCGTGAGTTATTCAAGATCGACTCGATCAAAGTCGATAAATACTCGGATCAAATGACTCGACCCGAGTTCTTAACGAGCTGAAACGAGCTACTCGATATTCGACTCGAAAAACTCGTGAGCAGCTCGAAAATATAATATATTAAGATTTTATTTAAAAAAATAAATTAATAATGATATTAATATTTATGTATTGATTTTTTTTAAATACAGTAAGATTTCATGTATTTAAGGTTCATGTTAGAGTTTGAGGCTTCAATCGAGTTAAGTTTAAGAATTTTTTTCATTTCGAGCCTTTTCAAGATGCTCACGAGTTTCAGTTCAGATTTCGAGTTAGAGTCGAGTTTGAAAATTTTAAACTCGCGAGTTTTCGAGTCGAGTCGAGCTTAGCAATACTCGAACTCGACTCGACTCGTTTACACCCCTATTCTAATCAAGGCTATCTTGTAGGGGGAAGGGTTTATTTGGGTGTCCTAGGTTCATGAGTATGTCCTGCGGAGAGAGACCTTTTGTTAGGTGCAGGCAGGTTCCTCTTGTAGTTATGTTTGGAGAAGGCTGCTTAAACTGAGAGAAGTTGTCTCTGCTGGCCTTGTGATTGACTCGAGGGTGATCTTGAGGATAATATTTATAATACAAAATTATTGTAACTTTATTAAAAAATTATTTTAGATTAATAAAAAACTTTTATTTCAGTAATTTATTAATAAAATTAATTAAAATATTTATAATTATAATTTCATTGAACTCTACCTATTTGAATGGAGATAATTAATAAAGTAAAAATTAATAGATTATAAAACTATTATACCTAACAAGCTTATAAAATTGAAAAGTAAAACTAATGCCCACAATCATCGCAACATCTCAAGTGGGAGAGGGGGAAAATGGAAACGTGGTACTGGTAAACAATCACAAAATAGATCATTTCTTTTCACGATAAGATGCTAAACAATTTAACCTTGATAGTTAAATTAACGGTGTGGATTTTTAATAGCATTTCACAATTCACGCCACCCAAGTTAACAATTAAATACCACATGTCGTGAAATAAATTTTTTATTAATATGTAGTAATTACGAGATAATATCTATTTAAAAATAATTTTTAATAATTTAACATTGAATGTTCATATCTCTTACATTTTTAGTGCTCGAATCTGATATCTCAAGAAATAACAATAATTCATTTCTCACTGAGATTGTTCTGTTTGTGTGTCTGTAAGAATTAATTAATTATCTCAGATTTAATAAAAATATTTTTAATAAATCTTAAGTGAATAAAAGATAATATATAATATAATCAAAATTTATAATACAATAATTAGATCTGTCGAAACATAAAATTTTTATTAATCGTATCTATTTTATGATTTATGTTAATGATATAATTTTTAATAATCAAGCATACATTTTCCTTTGAAAATATAATATATCATACTACACATCCAATACTAATTAATATTTTAAGTATATATTAAAATGTTAACGTTTCTAGTTTTTGACTGATAATATTAAGTTCTTTTATTAAATTTTATTAATGTATATTGCTGAGTTTAATAACGTAAGTTCATTTATATATGAACTGTTGAAGGGTTAGCGTTCGATCTAGTCAAACAATTTTTTTTTGAATTATTCGAGTTGACGATAACTCGAAGTTGACTTCAATTCTTTTGAGTTGATTTGAGCCGAGTCGAGTCGAGTCGATTTCTCGAGTTTATCTTTATATTTAATTGTAAATATTTATAATATTATGATATTATTTGATTCCAATTTAAATAACTTTCTATACCATATACAAAACAAATATATTTCCTCATTTTTTTCACATGTGATATACATATATCATACAAAGTCAAATGACTCAACTCAAACTTAAAAATCAATCCACTAATTATTATAAAATTTGAATTATTCAAGTCGAGAAATCAATTTTTTGAGTCGAGTAAAATTTTGTTCATCCCTAAGTTAGATAAAAATATATTCTTCACTAAACTAACTTCTATTGAATATTTAATATCTTAGTATAATATAGTTTGGAAGAAAACCAACACTATATATTAGATCAAATTTAATATTAAATATTTTTTAATCAAGCTAAGATGATTACAAAATAATATTTGTTCTAAATACTTTCAAGCATTTGACAATGAATAATCAATTACCCTGCTGCAACCGTTAATGCTCAAACCTATGACCTCTAATAACAATAACTATTCATTTAACTACTGAGATAAATTGGTTCGTGCAATTTAATATTAACTATTAAAATCTTAAAATGCAATTAACGCATTTACCTAATTTCATTGCTTAAAAACGTACTCAAATTACGAATCAATGTATATTTTATTTTATTTTCAGTTGATATTTATTAGAAAAATGAAAATATGGGAATTTTCACACACACATATATATAAGGCTAAATTTGTCACCTTTGTTTCAATTTAATAAACATATGGTCACTCGATTCAAAAAATATAATACATAGTCACTTTCGCTTCGTTTTAATTAAGATGTGATCACTTAGACATTAACTACCATGAGTTGGATGACGTGATACATTAGTAAAAATATTTAATTACTTTTTATTTGAACCCCTAAACTTTAGATAAATTACTTATTATAGATATTTTTATAAACTAATATAGTTCAGGGATAAAATATCAATTTACACTTTTTTTTCCATATGTTTTCTTCCTCAAACCGATCTTCTCTGTCGCTTCCCCTGCTTCATCTCCGTATGTCGGCGACCTTTAACTCTCAGACCACCATTAATCATCTTTATTTAAGCCAAAGAAGGACGGAATCCAAATTGAAAATTTTCTTGAAGGAAGGGTTATTCTTATCACTGGTGCAACTGGATTCCTAGGTAAAGGCACGTAATTTTCTTTCTTTCTTTAATATAATCTAAAAGATTTGTTTGAGTTTTAACAGTTGAAGTATTTGAAATGCAGTTCTTGTTGAGAAAATTCAGAGATTGATGTCGAATGTGAGTAAGATTTATCTCATCATCAGAGGAAAATATATGGAAGATGCACGAAAAAGGATTGAAGAAGGAAGCATGTTCTCTATT